TTGTTAGTTTATATATATATATAGTTTTCTTGTTTATTCCATTTCACGTTTGTAATAGTTTTTTCAGGGTCTTTCTTGACTAGTTCCAAATTTCCCAGTTAAGACATGAGTTTTAGATTCATCAGTCTTCACTCATATAGTGTCTAGACTGGGTGTTTATCCAGTTAGATTAATATTTGTAAAAGTAAAAGTCTATGTGACAATGAGTCGAAAGTAAATTTTGCAAAGGCTTTTTTCGGTTGATGGCTATTGCGAGAGAGCGAATATTAATAATAATGCTAATGATTTAACTATTATTATAACTTGAAAACTACAGTGAATTATTTTTCATCTACTTGTGTCTTTCTCTTATACAAATAATGAAACACTGCAATGTCTTCAGAAGGAAAACCTTACAACTGAAAGACATGTAATTAGACAATGAATATTATAAGAGGAACTATTATCAGTACATTCTGTCTCACCAAAGTATGTAAATGTCTGACATTCAGAATCAACTTCACGCCTTACTGTAAGTTGTCGGGAAATGCACATGGATATAGAATTATTCAGAATCACATAGTCTCGCACTTCTACAAATATACACTGAAAAAAACACGGGACACCCAGTGACTGTGTTTATTAGTGTGTGGCAAGAAGCATAGAACCGGCAGGCATGCATGGGCGCCACACAATTTTTGGTTCTACAATACTGATTGAAAACTTTAGTCATTTAGCCTTGCAAGCAGTCGAGTTGTAAGCCAATCCCAGAACTGTACATTATATACAAATGGAATGAACCTGAAATGTAATTGTTCATAATTAATCATTAATCTAAATACTTGTAAATACAAAAGCCAATGAGTGGTAGGTAGCAAGTCAGAGCGGAAAATTTAGGAACAAGAAGGTTAAATTTAGGACAAAGTAAAGGACACGATTTCAAGGGGGAACTTATATACAATGGGCATTCTTCAAGTATTAGTAATTTACAGTAATTTACCATCTCCATCTGAAGATAACGGTTCCGACTTATCTTATCTATCTTAACAGTGATCAAAGTTTCAAGGGAAATTTACTCCATGCAGGTGACTCGTCTTTATTGGAAGTGTAGTGATGTGTTTTGAGAAGGTCTGATGCGCGAACAGGAGCACTGACTCATGATAATGGTATAGTGACCATTTGTAATAGAGTCGTTGTTATGATACAGTAATTTTTTTTAAACAACAATGTCAGAGTTGTTACGATACTGTGAATATTTCATGACTGTCAAGGTTTCTTATGAGGATGCCCTTGAAGGCAAAAAAGAAAAGAAAAATACATTGACTATCTGTTTTACTATTACCAATAAGATATTGTTTCAATATTGTAATACCGTAATTTCAGCATGTTTACAGATGTTATTGAGCATCAGGGTGTACTCATAATCATCAATTAATGTCTAAACTAGAATTTATTTTACACATAACCCAAACCATAAAAGGTTATTCAGCCAAATATCTGACTTGATATTCTATAGAGCTACAAATCAACACTAATTAATACTATGCTTTACTGAGATCTGGAAGCAGATTATTTTGAAAAATCATGGGCATTTTTGAGCATACTAGTCCAAGCACTTGAAAGATCTAAATAAACGTTTCGCTTTAGCAACACACATAAAAAAAAATCCGTTTATCTATATTTATTCGTCTGGCTCTCTCTCTATATCAAAATCCTTTTAAAAAATTGCTAATTTCAGGTTTGCTAGCAGTGTGATCTAGTTCCGTCGCTTCGCCCAGCATACTGCTTGCTATTTTGCGTGCGCTAGCGACTTCTCCCAATCCGCTAATCTAATGAATGTAATTAAAAAGAGGTTACAGTTATATCCCGTGGTTATTTCCATAGGCAACTCCTCTGGTGTGAGTTGCACATAGCGTGTGATGTAGGCAAATGTAGGTCTCTATAAGTGTACTCTTTCAGCATGTGTCCAAGGCAGTATTATGGTCTGTGATGTACTGTGTTAACAGTATCCAATGTCTAAAACATACTTTGGAGCATCATGGTACATCGAGACATGACTATGTAATACCTCTTCCTCCTACCTGACTCTGTCCTTGGCGTTGAGTCCAAAAGAATTCTTTTTATGCGACGGCAGCGGCGCCGCCTCCTGGTCGGGCGGCAGGTGCGGCAGCTTGCGGCGGATCCTGAGGCTCTTCTGGCTGTCTGTCTCGCTCATGGTGTCAGAAGAGTCGTCGCGGAGGCCCCTTGGGGTGCCCGCCGGGGTGCTGGGGGTGCCGGTGAGCATGGCCAGCTGGGCGTTCACCCCTGACATGCTAAACTCTTCGGGTGAAGCCAGCTGGTCTGAGGAGGAGCGGAGGCGCGCCCTGGAGGGAACGTAAGCTGTTAACGGCTTGCGAGTAGGCGGGGGTGCGCCTACGTTAATCTGGGTTGGTGTATGTGCCTAAATATGCAGATGTGCATGCATACACATGCACACAAGCACGCAGACAAACTTTCTCTCTCTATCTCTCACTCACTCACT